TAATGACCCAGAGCGGGACTTTTCCGAGAGGGAAATTGATATATACTGGCCCTGGTCTAAACGCATCCAGAAGGCTGAGGAGGAACCGAAGGTGCGCAGTTGCAATTTTCCCGAAGCCACTACCTTAAACAGTGTCCGGGCAAAAACTCGATTTTGAGATTTTGTGCTTACTTGGGCCTATTCGCTACGCTGAATCCGAAAATGCACTGTAGAGCGGGAAAATGGCGAAAAACGGCTCTAACACAGGAGGGAAATGAGCAGGTGGGCGGGGTCCTCCCCACTGCGAATTCACGTTCCCGGCTTCCGGAGAGACCTTCTCGCTTCCGGTTTCAAGACAATCATTCGCAGCTGACCGGTAGCGATGTTAGGACGGCTAGCGGAATCAAGAAAATCGCTTCGGGAACTGGGAGCGTGAAATCGCACTGAGGAAAGCCCCGCCCACCTGCTGATTTCCCTCCTGATTTAGAGCCTTTTTTAGCTGTTTTCGCGCTTTCCAATATGGATTTTCGGATTCAGCTTGGCGAATAGGCCCGTATAAGCACAAAATCTCAAAATCGAGTTTTTGCCCGGACACTGCCTTTAAAAGCTTCCTCTATGGGCGTGCCTACAGGTCTGCGAAAACTTTAGCAAGCTCTCGAGATTTTTTTGGAGGACATAGCTAATGTGAAGTCATTTCAGACGACATCTCTCCTCTCCCCCCCCCCCCCCCCCACATCGTTAAATTTCTGCCGCCTGTAGTTTGTAGTGACAAATTGAAAAAGATCAACAGAGTTGTAAAGACGGTGGTGGTGTATGTAACTAATAACACGGAACTCCTCAAATTAAATATTATACTTTGTCAGAGGATGGACGAAAGCCATTCGTTATGAGAAAGCACAGTTTTTATCATTTCTTCTTACAAGGGAAGTGTCAGAACTCGCAGTGGCCTTTTGACATGAAATGGGTATCATCTGAAGCAGCTTGAAATGCTGATTCCAAAACAGCCTTTCTTAGCTGCAGAACTAATCTAGAACGAGAGTTATTGAATTTAATTTGCGGAAAAATTACAACGCTGAGAATAGCCAAAAATTAAAGCGAACATTTTTTTGGGCTCAAACATAGATGAAACAGTCCATCAATATTTAGCGTAATTCTACGCCTTCATCAAAGTCATACTGTGGTGCTTAAACAAGCATTTGAAAGGTTTCCGTGATCACAGGGTACTTCAAACAATGTAAAATTTAATGTTTAAAATGCCCATAACTCGCGACCCAGATCAGTTCTGCAGCTAAGAAAGTTCGTTTTGGAATCAGCATCTCAAGCTGCTTAAGATGGTACCCATCCCATGTCAAAAGGCCACTGCGACTTCTGACACTTCTCTTGTTAGTAAAGTAACACTTACCAGAAAAGTGAGAACTCTAGTAGTAATGAGAAAAAAGTTTATGATTTCGTTCCGTCCCTTCCCTTAGGCGGGTTTTTGTTTCTAGATCCTCGATTTTAGGCTCTTCAACAAAGAAAGCGGGTTTTAACTTGAACGAAAGATTTTTGGGGAAATTTTTGGAAAATTATCTCGTATGTTGCAAGTTCTCTCTTGTGGGACGATCTTCTGTGTGTGATGAAAAAAGAATGAAGTTAACTTTCTCTTCTCTTCATAGTCATGCCTTCTATCTCTCTGATGTAAAAATCTGCTTCTCTATATGCAAAGAGACATCTTCCAGCAAATCTAAGAGATCACCATAGCGGAATTTACCGTTCGCTGAGCGCCTAGTCATCCGCATAGAATGCGTCGTAAAGTGATGTCATTAAGTGATCAACCATAGAACGGTTCAAGGAAAACAATGGTATGAATAAACCTTACTAATGGGGCGTCGTTTCCGTCGTCAGTTGGTGGGTATCATGACGTCGTTGAACATAACGTCCGGTTTTTTGATTATACATTGCGGTGAACGATTGATGATGAGACCCTGGCGATCAAGATACAAAAGTTCGAACGAGAGAGGGAGAGACCTTTCAGCTGCCCAGTTCCAGTCGCAAAAAGGGAGAAGGGTATAACAATGGCAAAGCCTTTCTTGTGTTTACGTGGCTTATGCATACGAACATCTTTTGTAGATGGCAAGGATCGTTTTCGAGGAAAAGCCAATTTTCGGAAATCTTCTGGATAACAAAGTTTTACAAAAAAAATCGGTAATTATGTTACTTATTGATAGTTATGGTGAAACTTGCACAGATGCTCATTTTCAATCATCCTTTTTGCTTATTCTATGCTATATTTATTGTGAAAGTCGTCTTTCTCGCATTTTTATTAAGTGATCATGACCCTTTTTTCTGAATGCAACTATTCTAGTTCAGGTACAGTTCATTGTAGTCGTCTCTGGATGCGAAATTCCAGCTTTCAAACTTTGGAAAAAGCTATCGGGAGCAAACATCGAAGTGATGAGGTGCTTTTTTTGGGCCGAAGCCAATGCTGCGCACCTGTACTTTACAGCAAACCGACACCAGGCCACAATAGTAAGATACGCAACGGTGCGAAATAGATTTTACACTTGCACAAATTATGATAGGCCTTTAACTCCAATCTTCACCTCAAGGATTGTCTGTGTGTTTAACTTGGTAGCAAAAAACTTGTGTACTAGACTCTATTCACCGAACACTCTAAAAAAGATCGTTGTGAGACTGAAACACACTTTCGCCGGAAGCCATTGAGTGCACTATGAGATTTTTTATCAGAGAGTAGATACTTGTACTAATAAGGGCGTCATCAAAGTAAGTCCTGAAGAGTCCTATTGAATTTTATGATAATCATATGAAGACAGACGCATTTAATCTTAGTTGTTTGGTGCAAAATTACCGAGTTTTTTTCTGCATGATCCTTCATGTGGATCACCCTTAATTAAAGACCTGCACTGGTCGATTTGCCTCTGCAAGACGAAGTACCCCCATGATTTTCAATAGATTATGACGTCCCGCTCGATACATAGCGAAGTATGTAGAAAATGGTAATGTTTTGACAAAATACAGGATGTAGAAGCAATTTTTGGCTTATTTACGATGTAGGTAGAAACAAGTATTAGATCGTTCCGAAAGTGATGTCGCTTTTTTCGAATGAACGCCACTATTGGTGGAATCAACATTTTCAAGAGATCTTAGGAGCATTCGATGCAGCATTTCATCCTCTTTCTAACGATTATAATTTCATTGCATAATTTTCATTGAGCTTTCGAAAAATTAACAAAATCTGCAACTCATGCTTTTTGCCATGGTCAAGTTCGGCAATTTTTTGAAATTTTTGTACCTATTCTCCGAAGAAGTACAAGTGGCATATAGGTAGAGCAAACCCTATAGGACACAGAGTAATTTCTTCTTTTCCTTAGCTTGCTTCTCAGAGTTTCTACAATCAGTTTCTCAATGCCATCAAAATCCATATTTAGTCAATTAAACCTCACAGAACAACAACCGGCAGGCGACTCGGGTGTCATTCGATGGAGCTTTTTCTCCTCTTTCCAGCAGTCGTTTTTTGTTTCCGATTCATCAAGTTTTTTCCTGGTAAAAATCATCATAATTCAACTTTTCCAAGGCATCCCAAGGTGTGCCCGAAATTTTCGGAAGTTGCACCGAAGCGGTGAATGCCCGTTTGGTTTGCAAAATTGTTGCCAAACCATAATCCATCTTTGCAAGTTTTAAAATCCGGAGACTTGTTGGCGTTTGATGCACTCGTGTCTGAGACGAGCCTGCTAAAATTCAGTGGTTTTATCAAAAAATCTGCACAAAAATTATGACGAGCTCTGGAAAGTAAAAAAAAGTTGTGCTGTTTCCTGTAGGGTTTGCTCCATCCATCCATTACTTGGACTCCTTCTGAGGTTTGTTACAAAATTTTAGAATAAATGTGAAACTTGGCCATCTCAAAAAGCATAGGTCGCAGATTTTGACTCTTTTCTGGAAGCTCATTGACTGTATTGCAAGAACTTCATAACCATTAGAAAGAGAATGAAATGCTGCATCAAATGCTACCAGAATCTCTTACTCAGGGATTCGCGCCGTGCGGGCGGTCCTCATTAAAGCCCCTCCGCCTGAGCGCACTGCATAGTTTTTGATGTACCGTGCGTGCGGTCAACAATAAAAATGCCGTGCAAGCGGAAGGCAGTCTTCCCGTTCGATCGGCACGCAATAAAATCGACCGTGCAAGCGGCAGGCAATGCGTCCGCACGATCGCCCAGCAATCACTTGATCGTACAAGCGGCAGGCAATCTCGCCGCGCAACCGGTACGCAATAAAATGGACCGTGCAACCGGCAGGCAATGCGTCCGTCCGATCGGGCGACAAACATTCGCCCGTGCAAGCGGCAGGCAATCTCGCCGCGCAATCGATACGCAATAAAATCGACCGTGCAAGCGGCAGGCAATGTGTCCGTCCGATCGGGCGGCAAACATTTGCCCGTGCAAGCGGCCGCCATTGACCTTTCTGTAGAAACGCGCGCAGGGACGCCGTTCCACGCGCATCTACGGACATATATTTGAAAAATCCTGCAGAGAAATCATAATTTCTTATTTTCTTCAAAATCAGACTACTCTTACCATTTAATCTTCATCTTGATGTGCTATGTGATTGAACTCTGTAGTATAGGTGTTATGCTAACTTGGTTTCTCCTGTTATTTCGCGTAACTCCTTCTCTTCACCCACTTCTTGTTCACCTCCATTCATTCACTCATTTAGCAAATGATTACTCCATTCACTTTTTCATCCGAGAATTGGCGTACTTCGTGTAATTTTTTTTTCTGTGTTGCGTGCGCTTAGAAGATATGCTTCTTTACTATACATCTAAGAATTTTTCACTTCTGCTCATTGGTGTGCTGCCCTCGCACTCCTCCCTACTGATGAGCCTCGGGAGTGCATAATTCTTTTTGTTTCTGTCTAGGGGTAGAGGCGAAACAGATTTGTTTCCTTTGATCCTCTTTTGTAGTAATCGTTTTGCAATGAGAGCCGCATTATTTTTTGTCATGTTTTCCAAAAGAAGATTTTTAGATATGGACTTTTCAAGAGGCATTAGCTACGACCGAATCGGAAATCGTGCATATGGATGTAAGTTGCTTATGGTTTCTTTGACTCTTATGATATTACCGGCCTATCTTTTTGCTTTGTGTTAGACATAGTTATTCTTAACCGTCATTCAGTATGTTTAATCACAGAGCGAAATATCACCTGCTGCATTTTCAGTGATGCTGGACGAACGTTTGGATAGACTCGCGGAGGACAGGCAGGCACTTTTGGAAATGCGACAAAGAAGAAGAGCACATCAGCAACAAACAATAGAACCGTCGGAATATTTGAGTTAGTTGATTGTTTTAGTGTAACACTTACTTTCTATTTTATTATGTACTTACCTATTCCTTTGTACTTCTTTTATGCATGATGGATGGCGTTTTTCTCAACGCATAAATAAACTGTGTCTGACATGTGTTCAATTTCACACACGCAGATTTTGATACGAATGTGTATGATCAAGAAAGAGGAGACTCTCCCCCCACACAGATGCAGGCAGAAACCATCGAAGATGTACAAGAAGATGTACAAGAAACATTAGATTACAAGAACATGCGTATGTCCATTTCAGTGTTTGAAAACATTTATACACGTACCTGTGCCTTTAGCATTCAATGACCGCGTACTATTTTATGCTGACTATATCCAGCAATGCGGTCTTTCAAATGAAGGAGTGAAACTTTTGGAACAGTTAATGGCAGTTATATTCGGAACTTTACCTCCAATCAAGGTTCAACCTTTCTTTGGGAGAACCACTTACTAACTAGGATCTTCAGTACACCAGCCATGTGGTCCCTCTCAATAAGAATATACTGCAACAATATCAACACAAGAAGACTTACTTTTGTTACTCTTGTGGGGATATGCTACATCACTGGAGAGATAAGTGCGCAAACGCTATGTGCAGTCTTTATCGGTTTGTCTAAAATTCGCCTATTTTATCTTCAAAGTATATGCCCTTTAGTGTCGCCATTAAACGTGCGAAAGGAGTTCAGAGAGTAGAAGTTCACGTGCTAGATATGATTCCACAATTATCGGACCTGATGATGAAAGAAATCACCAATATCATTGATTTCCACCGCACTCTCCATGAAAACGGAGTAATTTTCAACACTGCCTATTCGATACATACTAAACCATAATCTATGCTCTCATTTTCACATCCAGGGTAGCCCAGAAAACGATCGAAGCGACATGAGGTACTTTGATGGCTTCTACCGCAACATAGAAAGTGCTGAAGAATTTGGCGAAAAAACCATCAAAATCCTGATGTCGCTTTCGATAGACGGATTCGTTCCCAAGAGGCTTACCAGGTACGGTTCCAGATACAAACATATTCAAAACACATTTTAACTACGATGAAGTTATATTTATATAGACGCGAGATGTGGCCACTATACTTACGAGTAGATAATCTTCCCAGAAGTGAAGCTGACAAGTACACTAATTCTATCTTGTGCGGAATCGTTTATAGCCTCGGAAAGCCTAGTCTGAAAATGGTGGAATCGCTGTTTGGCAGGTTGCTTCGCAATCTTTTGGAGGTCTCCAACAAAACTCCGCTATGAAATTCTCTTCAAGGTTGGAATCAGAATTGAACGCACTAAAAGAAGAACCTATTAGAATAGATGTAAACGGCGAGATCTGGTCGTTAGAAATTCGTCTGCATCGTGGAATAGCTGACATGCAAGTGTGTTTTCTCTAGCTTTAATATTGTTAAGTATGAATGAACTACATTGCACAGGCGCAGAAAGCTCTTTTCGGAGTTCCGAGATGGTCTTCAGCGCAAGGCTGCTCAAAGTGCTACATCATGGGACAGCGGACGGAAGGACATAGAGTATGGATCCAGCAGGAAGAGGATAATTCCTCACTAAGAGAGCCCTCTTCGTATCGCATCGATGGACAGTTGGGCCGAAACGGAATACCAAGTACCATCCTTCAATAGAAATGCGATAGTTCTTATTTACTCTTTAGATGAGACACCGATAATGAGAATAATCAGGCCATGCGACTTCTCAGGAGATGCTCTTCACGTTTGTTCTGAAGGCATTACGAAAGACAGAATTAGAGGTCTGATTCAGAATGTTCCAGGAGTCCCTACAGTAAAAGTTTGATTCAGATTTGTTTGGCGTCAAGAGTAGATTTGTTGGCATGAGAGTCAGTAGAGAAGGCGTTGCGGGCATGAAGAAAGCACTGCAAGCAATGTCTTCGTATACATATGCAAGCAGCGTCATATTGTCGCTCGAAGACTTGCGAACATGCAAGGCAGCTGAAGTCGACGAGGTGTAGCACTCTAGATATCCTTTCCCGCTTCAAAAAACTGTTTTTAGCTCGCCTTCGTCGTTTTTCCCGCAGCTGCTGCTACAGGACTTATCCCTTCTCCTGTAGCTGCAGTCTCTCTACTTGGATACTGGCTGTGTCTCAGACTTATCTCTGATCCGCGATTGTTGACGACTCGTACGATTGAAAAAGCTCAGAAACTAGCCGATCTGACGAAGGGAATATGGATCACACTTGCACCGGGGATTTTTACGATGAAATGCCACGTTAGAGCTCTTTCATTATGGTGGCGCTTAACAATAACAAGCTTCAGTGGTTCTTCGATCATGGAATGAAGGAAGAGATAGAAAATCATGGAACTCTTTATCAGTGGTCAGCGGCTCCTTTCGAAAGCCATCACCGTCGTTTACAAATAAATGTGGATCAGACAACAACAAATTGTTCCACTGTGATGATCGAAAGGTAGCGTGTCAACCGTTCAACTACAACAAACTTGAAATTTTTCTAGATATCTGCTTTACAAAAAGATGAAATACCTAATTGAAGAGAAATCTACTAACAATAGTGATTTTCTTTCGCTGAGGAAGAAAGCTGATAACAAACATAAGGCTAAGTATGTTCTACATTTTCATTTACTAGAGAAGTGCTAATGAATCGTGTAGGTTTCCCCTCGATATCAGTGTGAATGCTTCCGTCTACATCCCTAAAGGAAGCAGAGTTGATCGGAATTTACTCGAGGAGGAACATAAAGCTATCATTTTGCAGAGTGGAGAAGAAGCCTAGTGCGATTTTGTTCTCCGTTTCTCAAAATGATCGCTCAACATAGATTTCTTGCAGCTCAAGAATCGTAATCCGAGGAAAGGTGTTTTCTTCACGAAAATACTGGAAACGAAAAGCGAATAGCCGTCAAGATTTGGTTTGGATCAGTGGAAATGACAACTCTGCAGAAGTGCAAGCAATCGGATCTATTGTTCTGTTTCTGTACTCACAGCAAAACCGTAGTGTTAGGGTGCTTTTGTGCATCCCTAGGTGATCCCTACCCTAGGCGACCCTAGGTGCATCTTCGCACCTCTTGAGGCAACGTGACATTTCTCGCGCCCCAGATTAGTTCTCTAGTGCGAATGCAGGGCAGCCTTTCTAGAGTATAAGTAGGCGCTATCATCGAGTGATTCAAGGGGCAGTACCGGCGTCATTGAATATTTCATTCAATCATTTGAATCACTTGCACCTCATTCACTTATTCTGCGTAATTGCATCCCATTTGAAATTGCTAATTCATTCAATTGTTTTATCCATCCTTCCTTTATTCTGCAGTCAACACTATTCTATGTGATTTTCTCCCTTTCATCTGTGTCAACCTTTTATATCGCAATCAACATTGCTCTTCTGCCAAACTTTTCTTCTCCGAATTGATGCTGTTTTTGTAGACCACTCACATCTTCCAATGCAAACGCCGAAAACACGTGCGCGACCGGTGTTGCAGACGTTGTCAAATGTAAAGCCGGCTATGCAGACTTTGTCAAATGTAAAGCCGGCCATGCAGACTTTGTCAAATGTGAAGACACGAGCGGCTCCAGCGTAAGTTACTTAATAAATCATACTAAATCTTCTTATATGTCATTTGCAGAAGAACAGAACTATACGTCAGCGACACAAGTCCACAACAAACAACTCCTGGTAAGTAAATGGGAGTGCTTATCCCTCGTGTTGCCGAACATTATACTCATCTCATCTTATACTTTAATTCAGGGAATGTCTACAACAGGCCCGAATTGGACTTCGACACGACGGAAGAGAGAGACGCTCCCTCGTCTCTTTACGATTGCATCGTTGTGGGTACTCTCAACATGAAGGAAGCTGCGCAACTCATACTGGACCAAAAACGAAATGGACAGTTCAACAAATCGATTTACGATGTGAGTTTTCTATTGTTTATAATGACACTTGCCATCTTCATCAACCACTAGGAGTTCGTAAGATCGGAGGCCGCTTCCCGTGTGCAAAACTTCTGCTTCGATGGACTGCTGGACCTCGACGACGCCGTTCTGGAGATGCGCTTATGTAACCTCGCCAATTCCCTGCTGGTAAGTAAACCAAGGTTGCAGAATTGAAATAGTAAAGTACTTTTAGGGTCAAATCCAGTGCGCCAAGCTCGACCGCAGCAACCGGATGATCGAACTGACCGGGCGCGAGCTCAGTGGTGTCGGAAGTAAGCCCACAATTTCGCTAAGAAATTGTGTTCGGATCTGGAACATCGAAGGACCTCCCCCATTCATTACGGTTAGCAATCACATCAGCATGGTTCAGATTTGGCAGTACCTTTGTTCTTCTACTTTTCTTTTCAGACGCCAATGGAGGAGCTGATCGAAAACTACAAACCAAAGGGGAGCAACAATCTTTTCCAGATGTTTGCGTGTTTTTACCGGTTTCTGGTAATGAGAGTAAGTATCATTTCAACTCATTTGCAACCCTCATATTGAATGCTACAAGACTGATTTAGATAACTGACCCACCGCATCGCATCCAAAGCTACTCTCTGCGCCTGAATGGCAAGCGAGGACGCAAGGACTCTTTGGAAAATTTACCACGCCACATCGAACACCTATTACTGGGTAACTTCAAAGTCAAGTTTTTTGCTAATCTTACGATTTCCAGATTTCGTCGAAGATCTTATTGGATTCGGCCACAACGAGCTGAAAAGTGGGGCACGAGCCAATACCACCCATTCAAAGTGAGTTCGGAGCCTTATTTGTTTTGTTCAATATTTGATACTTTCAGATATGTGCTAAGCCTCGGCAATACGGATGCAGAACGACAAGCAGCTCTGGATGCGAAGGTGCAGACCAGGATGGTGTACAGGAACGAACTGTTCAAAGCCCTTCAGCTAGCTCTGTGAGTATCCTTTAGTTATAAATAGCAAATAAGTTTTATCGCTAAACTGCTTAATTTCAGTCGAGACGTGCGCACGTATACCTATGATAAAAGCAAAAAGGTGTGGATTGCGGGCGACGTAAGCTTACATCTATTTATCAATGAAGGATATTTTGAAATAAACATTTTTAGAGGAAGTTGAAGCGGGCCAAGCTGGACGCCTCAATAAACTTGAGGGAGGCGCTGGAGGACTCTATGAATTTGACTGAAGCCTATGATCAAGAAAACCTGGTACCAGCGTCACAGTAATCCACGCATCAATTTATGTGGTAGATTTGTATTTGTATGTAAAATATATAGAGCTTTTATATCACGGGTGGCCGTATAGGCTATTATTTTGTACCATCTGAGAATCTTTTGTTTGTTAATGTCTGCATTGTTTTTTTGAAACAGTTAAATGAAGTGATTGCTGACTCTTACTGTATTCTTTGCAAAAAAATACTTGTAAATTTGCAATTTTCTCTATGGGGCACTGCAAGCGCACCGCTTTAGTCAAGCAAGCAATAGGCAATCATGTCGTGCAAGCGCCAAGCCTTATACCTGCAAACGATAGGCAGTCGTACCGTGCGAGCGCCAAGCTTTACCCCTGCAAACGGTAGGCAGCCATACCGTGCGAGCGCCAAGCCTTACCCCTACAAACGGTAGGCAGCCCCACCGTGCGAGCGCCACCCCTTACCCATGCAAACGGAGGGCAGCCGTACCGTGCCATCGCTACAACTTAAATGCGCAAACGGTAGGCAATAGCGTCGTGCAAGCGCCACACCTTACCCCTGCAATCGGACCTTCATCACCGTACAATCGCACACACCAACGAGCGATTGTAGCGGCACTGCAGACCGCCCGCACGGTGCGAGTCCCTGAGTACATATCTTTGTTCCACGAGATGTGGCATACGTTTGAAAAAAGCGACATTACTTTCGGAACGACCTAATACAAACGAAATGAGCTAAAATATTAGGTCGTACCGAAAGTTCTTGCGCACGATTTTCAAAAATTCATGACTAGTTGAATTCTCAACAAATTTACAAAATCTAAATTTTATATAAGAGAGGAACTCTTGTTCTTTGTAACTGTACTTGAAATGTGCGTAATGTGTACAAATGAGAGAGATAGAAGCTCAAAACCAAAATCACTCAAAATTTGAATTTTTCGTGTAGGGTTATAAAAAATCGGAAACTTGCAGCAAAAACCGGAGCAGTCAGTATTGTAGGTTCTTTCACAAGTTCTTCCCAACAGTGCAAAGTTTGCGACGATTGAGCGTCTCTATGAAAAGTTATGATTTTCGAGCAAGCAATACAAAATGGCGAATTTTATTTATTTTGGCATTTTTCAGGGGAATCATAACTTTTCATAGAGACGCTCAATCGGCGCAAACTTTGCACTCTTGGAAAGACCTTGTGAAAAAACCTACAATACTGACTCTCCGATTGTTGCAGGTTTCTGATTTTTTTTTGACCGTAATTCAAATTTTGAGTGATTTTGGTTTTGAGCTTCTATCTCCTTCATTTGTATACATTAACGAACACTTCAGGTACAGATGCAAAGAGCATGAGTTCCTCTCTCAAGCAAAATTTTGATCGTACAAATTCGTTGAGAATTTAAAGCGGTATGAATTTTTGAATATCGTGCGCAAGAACTTTCGGTACGACCTAATATTAGGCTATCCATGTCTTTTCTATTCGGATCTTCAATATTTCTCCAAAACTAGGGCACCTAGTGGGCTGCAAATTTGTGGCAGTAACTCGGAGTGAATAAGCTACATATCACCTACTTGCGGGGAACACAGAACTGAGAGAGGCAAAGGTTGAAAATTGAGCGCATTATTTTTTTTCGTCGTTTTTAGCCATAGGAAAAATGCAGCAAGTGCATGTATAGATGTCCGATGAGGGAGGTTATGCCTGAGAAAGTGGGAAGTTTGCAGAGTTGTTTTGAACTGAAATATGATGACTTTCGTTTTTTCGAAATTTCGGAAATTTTTTGTTTTGGCGAACTTGTCGCGGATTAAACTTTGTGCGAACTTTTGAATGCCGTCTTGTAGAGCTTGTCTTGATCTGTCGAATGGTACCCGGCATCCCATTGTTAGTTCAAGAAGAACTGATTCAGGTTTTTTACTGAAAAGTTAGGTATGAAAAGAAAAGACTTATGGGACAACCCTATACCTATGAGAATAGAGAATAGGAAGAAAAGAAAAAAGACAAAAGTTGATACCGCAAATGGAACATCAAGCTAAGGCACACGCCGTACTAGAATTTCCTGGTCCTCGTGATTCACTTAAAGGCAGTGTCCGGGCAAAATGGGGGTCCCGAGATTTCTCTGCCATGTGAAAGTAGCACCCCTGAGACACAACATCGCGCAACTGCAAGCATAAAACGTTCGACCTAAAGCAAGAAAAACGATTGCAAATTGGGGAAACTTACGCCTTGGGGCGGGGTCCTCCGAGTTGTTTGAATTCCTGCCAGACGGCAGAGTACGTATGCCGCCACAGTTAAAAACCGTGCGCTCTTTGCAACCTCTGCGTCTTAGCCTGGCGGGGATCCCCAAAATTCGAAATGTGAGGACTTGGAAAATGCATGTTCTCGCCGTTTTCGCGCCTTCTGATGTGGATTTTCGGATTCAGCGTTGCGGATAACCCCAGATGAGTTGATTTTTTAGAAGTCGAGTTTCTGCCCGGACACTGCCTTTAATCCGCTTCCGCCAAATCCGCTTCGTGAAAAATGCGCGCTTACTCGTTTGTCGTTTGGCATCGCATAGGTGAAAAAGAATTTGTTTGGTATGGTTGCGCAAATTTGCTGTACGCGACGCCAAATGCCAAATTATTAAGGTGTAACAGAATTGATGCAGGTTTTCCGCGCAGCTTTTTCAAAATGCTGGTTTAGAAAAGGCAAGTGTTTTCTCAGAGAGTTTTGCATGTCATTTGGAGGTTCTTTTCTTCTAATTTCTTATGCATTCTTTCGTTTCAGTGGAAGTGAATTTGTCTGGAAGTTTTGAGCCCATGAATTCAAGAAACTAAATCTCGAAATTTCTTTTATACCTGGCTCTAAAACCACCAAAAACAATCGGAATTCGCTGTAAATTTACATAGTATTTTGAGTGAGCTGTGTTACAAAATGCATATTGAATTATTGATCATGAAAACATCTGAGCCGAGAAATTTAGAGCAAAATTCAACGGTCGCTGTGGTCCGTCTACCTTACATAAAAATCCTCAGCGACTGCGGAGCTTCCGCTTTATATAGGAAGAGTAGATTTCAGACATTTATGGCTGAAAAAATCGGGAGCCGTTCTGCCTATTCGGCTTTGAAAAAATTACAAAAGTTTTAGAAAAGCGTTCTTTCAAGTTCTCAGAAAAGTCAAAAAATGAGTACTTTCAAAATTTTTTCAAATATCCTCTTGCAAAGAGGTCTTTTTCAATTCCGAATTTAGCACTGCTGCACTACCGACCATAGGCTACACAATGAGTTATATCTGCGCTACCTTACTGTATTTGGTAGTAAGTTTTGGTTTCATAAAGTGAAGGTTTTCCGAAAAAATTCTTGGCAGAATTCGGGCTATGAGATTTTTCTCAGTGAAGCTACAACAACACAATAATGCATACTCAGATGAAAAAGGTTTGCTGATTACAACAATTCCTGTTGCACACGAAAAGACTATTTGTATAAAAAGTTATAATGATCCAAACACAAAATTCAGAAAACCTGCATCAATTGTGTTACAACCTAATAGTAATCTCGCGTTTCCCACAAAGCGGATCAAGCGAATCAACCGGATCAAGCGGATTGAGTGAATCAATAGTAACGAGGGTAATAAGTATGGCGTGTGCCTAAAGGCATTTTCAATGGATGCTGATTAGAGCGCAGATCTGTCATAGCTAGTTTTTGTTCATTTTAGAGAGGATGGCAACGATATGGTTTGGTCTTTTTGCTCAATGACAGATTTTTGGCCGCAAAAGTCACTATGTTAGAGAAATCCAAAACGATGAAACTTACCGAAATACGAGACGAAGTTTGCTTGATGGCTTTTTAGAGGAGGAGTAATTTAGGGACAGGTGTAAAAAGAGTCACGCAAGTCTCCAAAATTCTTTACATGAAACTACTATAGGCACTGTAATATATACAGTGCAGATTTGGCGTATTATGCTAGTTTCTGCGCTGTAAACAAGCCATTTCTTCGATTTACCTGTGTTATCATGTTATTTTAGCTTTAACCTATGCTTATTCTCTCCGGACTTAGTATGCAAGCATATTCGAAAGAATGAAAGCTCAAAAAATTGCTCCTATGGCATAAAAACAGGAGTGAATGGTGCAGTCCTTGCTTACAGTGATAATGCGAGAATTTCGCAAAATGTTAGGTTATCTGCATTATCAGATTGCCTTGACTGCATGTGTTAAGAGGAGGTTAAAGCAGCTAAAGTTGAAAAAGGAAAATGCTCCTGGTTTCTTGCAAATGAGAACAAATTACAACAAAAGATGTTTGCCACTTACCAAGACTCAAAACGGAAGCAACGACATTCTACATCAAAACACTTTGAGAGTAGACTACGTCTGAGGACAAAGTAATTTTGATCCCAGAGAAGTATGTAACGGTTGACTCAAAGTTGATCGTTATCCGTTCTAGAAGTTTTAGGCCCCGGGCATCCTTCACGCGATTTCACTCGCGACGCGACGTGGCAATACTCCAGTTGCTTATAGGCTGTATCAGCCAGCATCGGTCCCGCGCCAGTATGACTTGCGACGACGCATCGTCGCATGCGACGTGCCTTGAGGAGTGCCGAGTTCGCACGCGTCCCACCGCACCGTCGCAAGTTGCCGAGGCACACATCGCATGACCTATGCTGACTGAAACAGCCTATTCAACTCGTCACAAACTCAATTTGAACGCGAGGAAAATAACACACTTTACGACTCACAGTGCATTTATGGGCGAGTGTTGATTTTGAAGAGATCTGGCAAATGGCCAGATCGCGTTGCGAATGAAATTGCGAGAGGCATGCCCAGGGCCTTAGAGGGGGAGGGGGGCGATAATAAAACCATTTGATATCAGTGTAGTTGTTGTTGTAGCTCAGTAGTAGTTTAGTAATGAAAGGTGTCACTCGCAAGTTCTTGTAGCTGTTGCCATTCACTATTCTTCAGGTAACCTAGACTAAGCTCTAGGCTATATGTTCATGTTTGCATCTTTGTTGTGAGGCTTACCATCTTGTGGTAAAAGTTGTAGCGGCTATTGATCTTATGGTGAAACCGGTATCAAAGTTTG